AGAGAGAGAGAGAGAAAGAAAGAGAGAGAGAGAGAGAGAGACTGAGAGACCATGGCAAACCCTCAACTTTTCTGGGCCTTAGGCTAGATATATTAAAAGAACAAGGGGACTCTCTAAGATCCTTTCTAACCTTAAAGTTCTTTGACTGACCAGGGCACCAGGGATAGCAAGGACATTTTAATATGACAGCATATTTTTAGATGTCATTAACCAAAGAAATCAGCTTAATTTCATCTTGTAAAGTTAAGAGTAATAAATCACTTATCTTACTACTTTGAGTAAGGAGAATTAGAAGAAGGGATCATATGTGACTTGTGTATTTATACTCTGATCTAATATTAGGTAAGTGACATGTTGTAGTCAAGAGGCCCAATTATAACACCTGGAAGTAATCTGGTAACAGAATGACTCAGAGGAATGTTAAATCAATATTTTCCCCTGAGAAAACTGAGAAAGGTGTTTATCTACATTTTTTCATTGGGATATGTGCATGTCTTGGGAGTGAGGATGCTGGGAGGTAGCCCCACTGTGGGTAGTAGTCAAACACCAGATTTAAGATCCCACTGAAGATCTTTCATTGATGAGCTCATATGTGGTGAAAAGGCTGCCAGCCCTGAAATCAGCAATAGAATGCTGCTCAAGGTGGCTGTTTGTCATAAGCTCAGCTGGGCATGGTCACAAGCTTGGTGGGCAGAAAGAATTTTGAAATAATGCCACGCCGTCATTGTGAAAGAGCTAGGAAACAGTGCTGACTGAATAAAATCTGTACTGCAATCAAATGGTGACTCTTTTTGAGGAAAGGCTTTGTTCTGGCTAAGTCCTGGAGGATGGGCCACTGACAAAGGCTCCAGCCAGAGCTGCATGGGAAAGATCATGCAGTGGACATTGGTTGTTTCTCTCTGTTGTCATCACTTTGAGGACTAAAATATAATTGAAAAGTTTTATTTACCTCTATCTAGAGCTTCTAGGGGAAAAAAGAGAATTGTTTCATTTCTAAATGCATTTCATTTTAGTAAGTAAAGCATTATGAATAAACCCAAATAAAATTCAAAACAAATTAGAAACTTGGATACAAAATATAGGTATTAGTGCCACCATACAAAGAAGACCTCTCTAAGGATGCAGAGATCAACATTTAGTAGCCTCTGTCCTTATGAACTTAACTTGAGTGAGAGAAACAGGTAAATAGTTAATATTTATTGTTTTATTCAATTTTTATACAATGTCTACTCTATACAAGGCTATGTACTAGATGTTGAGACTACAAGGTAATCTGTTGATACAGTCCCTATTTTCAAGACATTTATAGTCCAGAGGAAAGGAGTAAATGAGTAATCAGAGCACAGGTTTCAAGGAGTTATATACGAGGGACGAAATCATTAGAATGCATAACAGAAATTGATGCAGGGGACTTTGAATATGTTCTAAGAATGGAACTAAGCAGTGTCAAGGAACCTGTTCCTTCAGTGATTGTAGTAAGCTGTGCTTAAAGTTATGTTCCAAAAGTTGTACATTTCTGATGTTAAGGATGATAATAGCCAAGAATTTTACAATGCTTTCTTTCTGTCAGCCATAGTTCTAGTGCTTTTCATATAACAAGTTATGTAGTCCTTATAGTAATCCTATAAAGTAGGTGTTAATGTTAACCAATAAACTTAGGTCCAGAGCAGTCTAGTTACTTAATAAATAACAACTACTAGTATGTAGTGGATCTGGCCTTTGGTTCCAAAGTTCATATTCTAAGTACGGTGCTGAGTTAAGACTTACAGAATTAAGGGAGTCATCTACTGGAAGAACCATTGTTGTACATTTTTGTAGGTAGAGCAGCTTAATATTAATGAATCCATATCTGAGCAGATAGGAGAAAAAATTGTATATACATATTTTTTATTGTCTAGAAATAAAGCTTATCTTAAATTATTGGAATTGCCTTGTACTAGCTATAAATTATAATAGAATTATTAAATTGAAATAATAGAATTTTTAAGTTGAAATCATAGGAAATACCTTTTGATCAATACTGTTCTCCATTAATTTACAGAAAAGGGCCTTCTTGAATTTTAAATATCTCTAAAAGAGAATCTATAGCCTTCCACAATCAGGAGCTGTATCCCACAGCTCTTTGAGGTGGGGATTTCCCTATTCAGTCCAATGTTCTCCAGGTCAGTAGGAGTTTGCTTTCTCTATCTCTCATCCTTTGAAATGTCTATCTCTTTTTATAACACTAGAGGCCTTTAATTTATAAGCTGGATTTGTAAATTGATGGTGCCCAGCCTGGTTGGGCCTGTGGTGCATGTGGCTTATCTCCATGTTTGGAGGCCTGCTATTTGCTGCTCTCAGGGAGTTAATAAGAGCTTTGGTGACCTGGTTTGCCCAAAATTTATAGGCTCAAATCTAGACGATCTGAAGGGAAAAAAAAATAGAATGAAAAAGTCAAAGTTATGGTTGTAAACTACAAGGAAAGTTAGAATCATAAAACCGGCATCAGTATGCTACACACAAGAATTAGAAGTTAGGAAGAGCCTAGAAGGAGACATTTTTAATTAAAGCAGTCCTCAAGACATTTGAAATTGTTAGGATGATTTTAAATAGGCAACCCTTTGGCTTTAAAAAGAATCAAGGATTCAGTTTTCTGTATGTGGTGTTAAATATAAAGACATACAAAATTTAAGAGGAAAAGAAATCTTTTTATGTAAAGCCATTTTGATTTATGGTTTTCTGGCCTTTGAAAGCCTCCCTGCATCTTGATAAATACATTGAATTGTTTTAAAATGGTATTAAAATAATTTCTTTTGCAAAAGCAAGTATTTTTAATGTAGTAGTTAGGAATATCATTAGGAAGACTATTGAAAGTGATGTCTACCATAAAGCTGAATGGTATTGCTAAATAAAGAAAAGGATATTCAGACCTCATTTGGACAATTAACTAAAAATAAAAGTAAACTTTTACATATAATATTGAAATCAACTATGGACTTAAAGAAATTTACTAAGATAATATTTTGTTTAAATTTATTTTCTATTTTGTTTTTTAAAACTTTAATTTTATTTACAGAAAGAATAAAAAGTATTTTAAAAAAAAGCATTACAGATCAAAGTTCCCTTTGACTACTATCCTTCCATCATCTCAGAAGTCACCATTTTGCCATTGTTTCTTCCAAAGCATTTTCTGAATATTTATATGCATATATTTCTATGCATATAACAGAAATATGTTTTGAATAGATGTTAAAAAAATAATTCACAGATTGTATTGTTTGCCAGTTCATTCTAAATATGACCTTCCAGTATGTTTTGGTTTTGATACTTCAATAATATTAATAATAGCAACAGACATTTATTGAGTAGTTATTATGTGCTAGGCAAGATATTTAACATTTTATATATAATTTATTCTCATAATCTGCATAATGAGCTTCGGAGGTGTGAACCCTAAAAAGAATTATATCTACCGGGAAAGACTCCTCATGGTTATAGGCCCAAAATCATAATCATAGTCTAGCAGCCATTGCTGACAGAGGTCTCTCACAGGCTGCATTTCAGGGAAAAGCCACAGACTGAGCTTCCAAGCTTCCTGAACTGTGCTCCTGCTGTCTGATATGACCTGTATAAGGGAGCTCCTGGTATCATCTTTCAGCCAATGCACTGAGACCTGCCCCAACCAATTGGAACTGTGCACAACTGTATCTTCATTTGCATTTGCACTGACAAATCAGAGAAGCTCCGTAATGACCAATTGGAGTGCATGAAGCTGACCAATTAGGACAGTGCTATTTGAATCAATCAGAACTATGCTGTTTGGATTTCTCATTTGTATTAAAATGAAACAATTGAGAACTAGAGCAGGAACTTCTCTATAAAAAGTGTCCTCCCCTTTGTCTTGGTGAAGCACACTTTTGATTTTCAGCAGAGGCTGCTTCCCCCAGTTTTCAAATTGTTCACTTAAAGTTCCTCTTTTTACCGCAGCCCAGATTGAGGATTCCCGTTGGCATTGGGTTGGTGGGAGCAACCTTTTGTTGAAATAGGTGAGTATTCTATATTCATTTTATTTGAATAAAAATTTACCTTAATTTTATCTCACATTTACATTGAATTGCTAATGCCAGTAGTTTATCATCCTTTAATAAGTTTTCAAAAAAATAAAACATTTAGAATGATTTAAAAATTGTTAGGAATATAACTTCTAGTTCTGTTAGTTTTGTTATTCACATGACCTCGGCCTTTTTCTACCAAGTCCCTGGAGTATCTTTGCTAAGCCACAAGGCTGGGAATAAGAGGGTGACCCCTGCTCACCTTTTAGGAATGTGGAGGCATTTTTGTCATATCTGACTCATTCTACATGAAGAAAAGACAACCCCAGACATTTCCTCAGTAGTCATTGCTTTTAAAAACCTAAGTCTGTGATGATGTTCTTGTTTGGGGGAACTGTTATAGGATATAAGATCTAGGAGGAAAGAGGTTTGTTTTTGAAAGATGCTTTTCATTGTGCCCTTAGTCATACTGGTATGAGGAAATAAAGGTTGCTGTAATGAGAACTCTGAGAATTTTTATGGGAATTGGTAGAGAGGAAGTGATATTGGGTGGGTTGAGAGAAAAAAATTTGTATGCCCTGATTTTGGACTTTGGATGAAGATATTTCAAAATTACATGACAAAATTGATATTTTAATGAATGGGATAGCTGTCAGAAAGGTTTAAATCACAGTTCTGCTGCTTACTTGTAATTAGCTGGGTAACCTTGAAAAAGCCACTTTACTTCAATAAAATAATATCCACCTTATAAAGCTGCAGGATTGAAATTACATTAAGTATTTTATATATTGCAAAGCACTATACAGATGTGCAATGTTAGCTGATATTTTTGCTGTTTTTATTACCACAGTTGTTGTCTAGGCTGTCTACAGTTTGCATCTTTTACTTACTATGGCCTCTGTACTGAAGACTTACAAAGCTTGCTTCTGTCCTTTATTACCTGAAAGAGAACACTATATTAGGGCTCTGTTATTTTCAGAGAAGAAAACAGCTTTTTGCTGGATCAGTTAACAAAAATTAAAGGCCTAATTTTATGTATCAATCAGCATTTCCTCAAGCCTAATGTAAGAACTGAAAACATTATCTATAGTACTTCTCCATGAGAGGAGATATGCTGAAGGTCCCAACAGTTAACATTTGGTTGTCATCAATAGTGTTCATAGATATTCTTTACCTTTTGTTTTTAAGATAACAATAAAGTATTACTTACTATCTGTCTACTTTTATAAGTATTTTCTAATAATTTTTATTGCACTAGATTTTTTTGTTTGAAAAACAAAAATTATCTTGCTATAGTTTCTTTTTGGTTATGTAATACTTAAATTACTTTGAAATCTCAATATACAATGAGGATATGAAGTGTTTATATTTAACAAAACAAGACATGAGTTCAAAATGGTTAAGAAGCACTAAAAGGCCTGGCTAGTGTGGCTCAACAGTTGAGTGTAGACCCAGGATCCAAGAGGTCACTGGTTCGATTATGGGTCAGGGCACATGCCCAGATTGTGGGCTCTATCCCCAGTGGTGGTGGGGAGGGGGAAGATGTTGAAGGCAGCTGATCAATGATGTTTCTCTCTCTATCCTCTCCCTTCCTCTCTCTCTAAAAATCAATAAAAACATATTTTTTAAAAAAACAATGAAAGTGAACTCTTGTTTCCAGATGAGGAGATGGCTCCATTGAGTTTCCATTTGGTGCACTTCAGAGTCCACACTATAATGGGGGAACTGCTCCATGGTTAGAACCCCAATTAGAAGTCTGGTTTATTATTTGAAAGTTTTTGTGTATTACTTTGCTTCCTCTCATTCTGCTAATGTTTTTCCTAATGTAAATTTTGTAGCAACTCTAAATTCTTGGAAAGAGCAGGACCTTTAGCTTGTCACAGAGTCCTTGGACTGCCTATCAGTGAGCCAATGCTACAGAAACCAGACATCAATCCTTTAGCTTTAAGGCGACTAGGAAGTCTACATTTGAAATTTCATTTGCCATTTGAGTGATGTGTCATTTATTGTACAAAAACACTACAGGCATAGGCTATTTCTTGAAGAAGATATACCTATGCTTTGGAGGAGGCACTTTGCTGGAGAAAAATCCTTTGGTTTTATTGTTACCCCTCTCGATAGTTCTAAAAAGCTTACCCTTTTCACTTTAATTGGTGAAAAGTTTTAATTGGTGAAAAGATCACAAATTTTGCTTTGTGATCTCTGTCCTCACTTCCATTTATTTCTTGACCTACTCTTTGTGGCAGAACATCTCTATCCTGAAGTTATACCAATGGGAAAAGTTAAATCTTATTTCAAAGGAACTGAAATTCCATTCCATATTTTAAATTTAGTCCATTGGAAAAATCACGTTTTTCTTTATTTTATTTGGATACCCATGCCCTTATTCTCTGAGGATTATAAGGGGTTTTTAAACTTTCTCACCTATTTATAGAAGCTGAGAATTTCTTCTTTTCCAGAAGCAGTTGTATTAAGAGAAGCTTATTTCCTTGAGATCTCAACCAGGGTTCTCTAAGGAGTCTAGGATCTGCACAGTCACATTTGCTTTTCCAAATAAGCAACTAGAAATATTTTAACTTGTCTTGACTATAACTAAGTTACTCTTAAAACAAAAAGTTTATAATCAGTTGAATTCTCTCTGCTTCTGGCTTACAGTACTGAAGAAACTGTTACATCGAGTAGACAGGCTGGAGTAAGAATTTCTGATTCGATTGCATATTATTTATTGTGGAAAGAATGTTTTCCCTCCAGACTGACTAAGAACAAGATGTTTAAACATAAGCCAGGGTGGAGACCAGTTTGTTTGGTCAGCTTCAGAGGAGCCACGTTTTCCTACTTACCATGAGTCCGCCAACTATTCTACCCCCCACCCCCACCCAATTCTTCAAGTTTCTTTGGAATTTTTACTTAAGGCTCCGTTGAATAAGGCAGTGATACGGTGCATACGTGGCAATAAGAAAGGCTAAGGCTGTTTTTGGAGCAACGTGATTTTATGTCATTATGAATTTATGTTGTACTGTGTGTGTATATATAAAATGTTTTCTTTTTTTTTCTTTTCCCTGGTCCCCCTCTGCTGTTGGCTTCTGTATTCCCATAGCTGGATTTCATGCAGCAGGACTCCATTTATCATAGGCGGTGGGAGGGGTGTACAGAGATACGAAAGGGTTACTGTTCACATTTCCTGTGTAATTCCCTGTGATCTTACTGAGTTGTATGTAATTTATTTTTTGATGTTAAACATTCCCAGGCTCCTATAACCTTCTAGCCTACTTGTACTGGCCAAGTTTGTCCCAGGTGATCATAGAGGCAAATCTCCTGTTTTTAAAGATTAGAAATCACTCCTTCCTCCATGAGATAGGCTAAATGCTCATGCCTTTGTAGTCCTAAAAGAAATCCTTTTGATTTAAAACAAGAACAGAAAAGTAATATATTAGTTTTAAAATTTAAATTCAACAGTCAAGTTTGTTGTCAAATTAATTGTGTATATTTAAAAATCTACTGATTCCTGGTGTAGTAAATTTCTAGTTAAATGGAACCCCCTGATCTATTAAAGATTACATTCTTCCTTCTTAAAACACACTTAAAAAAATGGATTCTAATTCTAAAAGGGTAGATTTGAACCTATCATCTTACTTTTAGTTTATTTAATAGGTAGATCATTTTAAGTTGCCTCAGATATAAAGCTGCTTACCTGAAACTTTAACACTTCTGCTTCAGTTCCATTCAGAAGATTGTAGTTGATCATAGGGAGATGCTTATTATTTTCTGCTTTTTTTCTTGTTTTAAAAGTATATCCCAACTCATTATTATTCCACAATATTTTAAATATACATTTTTGTTGTTGGATAAAGGTATTCTATTTTTGCCTTTGCCTTAAGTTTTAGAAGAAAATGCTATCCTATATAATAAAAGAGAAAGATGGTAATTGGCGTACGACCGCTACCCTTTTCATTGGCTAATCAGTGAGATATGCAAATTAGTCGACAGCCAAGATGGCGGCTAATTTGCATATGTCAGCCCCAAGCCTCAGACTGAAGCTTTAGGCTGGGGCCTGGGCGGAGCCATTCAGCGATCATTGATGGTGGCAGTGGCAGGGAACCAGGCGGAGCCAGCCAGCTATGCTTGATGGCGGCAGCGGCAGGGAGCTGGGGGTGCTCCGGCCCAAGCCTAAAGCCTCCACCAGAGGCTTTAGGCTTGGGGCGGTCCAGCCAGCCAGGGATCCTTGATGGCAGTTGCAGCGGGGAACCGGGGCGGAGCCAGCCAGCGATTGATGGTGGGAGCTGGGGTGCCCCGGCCCAGGCCTAAACCCTCAGCCTGAGGCGTTAGGCCTGGGTCAGGGAGGAGCCAGCCAGAGATTGTTGATGGTGGGGAGCATGGGGAGGGTCTGGCCCAGGCCTAACACCTTAGCCAGAGGCTTTAGGCTTGGACTGGGGCAGAGCCAGCCAGCGATCTGTGGCGGGGAGCTGGTGGTGCCCAGGACCAGGTCTAAAGCCTCGGCCTGAGGCGTTAGGCCTGGGCCAGGGAGGAGCCAGGCAGCCCTCT